AAGGTTGTACCAATCTACATTCCCACCAACAGTGTAGGAGAGTTCCTTTTTCCCGACAGCCTCTCCAGCATTTGTTATTGTTGGTTTTCTGGATCCTGGCCATTCTTTCAGGAGTGAAATGGTATCTCAGTGTGGTTTTAATTTGCATTTCCCTAATAACCAATGATGATGAACATTTTTTCATGTATTTATTGGCCATTTGTGTTTCTTCCTCTGAGAAGTGTGTATTCATCTCAGATGCCCATTTTTGGAATGGGTCTTTGAATTTTGGGGGTCTGATTTTTTTTAATTCTTTATATATTTTAGACAAAAGTCCTTTGTCTGAGGGGGAGTTCACTAAGATCTTTTCCCAGTTTGTGGGTTTTCTTTTCACTATGCTGGAGATTTTTTTTGACTTACAAAAACTTTTTAATAAGAGGTAGTCCCAATTATTGATTCTGGGAAGTATTTCCCGTGCAGTTTGAGTTCTGTTCATGAATTCTCTACCTACCCCTATGTCTTCAAGGTTTCTACCTAATTTGTCTTCCAATAGATTTAGTGTTTCTGTTTTGATATTCAGATCTTTAATCCATTTAGATTTTAATTTAGTACATGGTGATAGGCTTGGGTCGAGTTTTAGTTTTCAGCAAATGTAGAGCCAGTTTTTCCAACACCATTTATTAAAAAGACTGTCGTTCTTCCAGTGAACCTGCTTGGCTCCTTTATCGAAGATAAGGTGGTTGAGTGTGTTTGTAGTTGTGGTTGTATCTTCTAATCTATTCCATTGATCCTCTGCTCTGTTTTGATTCCTGTACCATGTTGATTTTACTACTGTTGCTTTATAGTATAACTTCAAGTCAGGGATTGTGATGCCTCCTGCCTTGCCTTTGTTGCTTAAAATTGCCTTTGATATTCTAGGTCTCTTCTGGTTTCAGATGAACCTTAGGAGTGATTTCTCTAGATCTATAAGGTATGTTGATGGTATTTTTATTGGGATTGCATTAAATCTGTATAACAGTTTTGGGAGAATGGCCATTTTCATAGTATTTATTCTTCCTATCCATGAACATGGGATGTCTTTCCATTTTCTGAGATCATCTTCAATTTCTTCCTTCAGAAAGATAGTTCTTAAAACCCTGAATAGATCTATAACATGACCTGGCCCGCAGGTCAATCCAGATCCGTGGGGCAGTTTCCTGGAGAAAGAATGGGGATTAACAGAGACAGGGCAGGAGACAGAGAGATGGAGACAAGTCGAGGAAGTCCAATCAAGCCTCGTTTATTGAGGAAGTAGTCGCAGCTTTTATAGGGCAAGGGTGGGCTGGTGGGACAGGAAGAGGCTACGGGGTGATCTCTGATGGGTCATCGTCACGTCCGTGTACGTGACGTGAGCAGGAGAAGATTATGGTTAATGTAGGTGCATTGTATGCCCATATGAGAGAGAGCTGGGGAGATAGCAGTGGGGTAGTCATGCCACTCCCTACAATAACAGGCAATAAAATTGAGGCAGTGATAAAACTCTACCAACTGAGAAAGCCCAGGTGATGGATCCACCACTAAATTTTATCAGAACTTTAGTTCTTTTTTTTTTGAGATAGCGTCTTGATATGTAGTTCAGATTGACCTTGAACTCACTCTGTATCCCAAGCTAGCCTCAAACTTGTGGCCATCTTCCTCCTTCTGCCTTCTGAGTGCTCAGATTACAGGAGAGCACCATCACATCCAGGTGGATTTTACTAGAACTTTAGAGAAGCATTAACTCCAATCCCTTTCAAACCTTCCATGATTGAAAGGGAAGGGATATTATAAATTTGAAGCCAGCATTAGCTTGATACCAAAACCAGACAAAGACTCAACCATAGAAGAAACTGATAAGGCCAGTATCCTTAGTGGACATAAACACAAAAATCCTCAACAAAATATTTGCAACTAGAAGCAACAAATCACTAAAATGATTCTAAATCATGATCAAATTTGCTTTATCCCAGGGATGCAAGTATGGTACAACACACATAAATCAATTAATATAACATACCATATAAATAGACATAATGGTAAAAATCATACATTTGACTGGGAATCTAGCTCAGTGGCATGAGCACCTGCCTGGCAAGCACAAGGTCCTGAGTTCAATTCCCATTACGAAAAAACAAAAGAAAAGATCCTGAGATGATAACAGGACCATCTCATTAGATGCATAAAAAACCTTTGACAAGATCCAGCAGCCATTTATAGTAAAAACTGTGGTGAGAGTAAGCATAAAAGGACTTTATCTTAAACTGATAAAAGCAATTTATGACAAACCCACAGCTAGCATCAAACTAAATGGGAAACATGGAAAGAATTTCCTCTAAGGATAAGCCAAAAGATGTGCACTCTTAGCATTCCTGTTCAATATAGTTCTTAAAACATTAGCTAGAACAATCAGAAAAGACAGACAAGAGATAAAAATAGGAAGGCAAGAAGTCAAACTATCTTTATTTGGAGATGAAATGGTCCTTTCTATAGGAGACCTAATGAAGGACATCAGAAGACTCTTAGGGCTAATAAATAAATTCGCAAAGTGGCAGAATGCCAACGCCTTGACACATAAAAGTCAATACTGTATGACGAATGTGACCACTATTACATTTAAAATGTACTGATAGGGCCAGAGATTTAGCTCAGCAGCATAAGTGCCCGCCAGCCAAGCACAAGGTTGTGAATTCAATCCCTGGTGCAAAATAAATAAATAAACAAACAAATAAAATAACATAAAATGTACCTATGAAATCTGATTTAGAAAAGAAAGAAAAAATAAGAATACAGCAAAAAGAATCAATAGTATTCCCATGCATCTTATATATGTTTGGGCCATCAATAGAAAACATACTGAGAAAGAAATCAGGGGAAAATCCCATTAATTGTAGCTTAAAAAAATATTACATACCTAGAAATCAACCTAAACATGGAAATAAAATATTGCCATAATGAAAAGTGTGCTACTCTGAAGAAAGAAATTGAAGAGAACATTAGAAAGTAGAGACATTCTCTGTCCCTGGACAGCAGCAGTAAAATGACTACTTTATCAAAAGCAGTATATAGATTTAATGCAATTCCAATCAAAATACTAACAACATTCTTCATAGAGCTAGAAAAAAAATCCCACAGTTAAGCAGAACCAGAAAAGACCTAGAGTAGCCAATGCAATCGCGGAAAAAAAAAAAAAAAAAAAAAAAACCAGCAAAGGAAAAGGCACTGCAATCTTGGATTTCAAGTTATATCACAAACCTACAGTGATAAAAACAACATGGTACTGGCACAAAAATAGATGCCTAGTCTAATGAAATTGAAAGAAACACAGAGCCCCATGTACCTTTAGCCATCTGATCTTTGACAAAGGAGTGAAAGACAAATGCTGGAGAAAAGATAGCCTCCAAAAATTGGTGCTGGGAAAACTAGTTTTGGATGTGTAAAAGAATGAATCTAGACCCATGTCTCTCACCCTGTACTAAAATCAAATCAAAATGATCAAAGACCTAGATATAAGAACAGGAACACTGAATCAGCTGGAAGATAAAACAGATAAAACACCTGGAGATTTAGACATAGGCAAGAACTTCCTTGAACAGAAGCCTAATTGCACAAGAGATAATTTCAAAACCAAAAAAAAGGGATCATATCAAATTAAAAGGCTTTGTACAGCAAAGAAAACAATCAAGAAGAGACAACTTACAGCATGGAAAAACTTTTTTGCCAGCACTCATAGACAGGATATTCTAGAATACATAAAGAAGCCAGAAATTGAACTCCCCAAAATAAAAAAAACTCAATTAAAAATTGGGCAATCAAAATGAATAGACATTTCTCAGAAGTGCAAGAGGCCAATAAGTACACTGCAAAATGTTTGGCATCTTTACCATTAGAGAAATGCAAACCAAAACAATAGTGAGGTTTCATTTTACCCCAGTAAGAAGGGTGTCATGACAAACACAAAACACAACAAATGCAGGTGAGGAAGTTCAACTCTCCACATTGTCAATGGGAATATAAACTAGTGCAGCCATTATGGAAATCAGCGTGAAGACTGGTCAAACAACTCAAAGTAGAAATTCCATTTGACCCAGCTCTCTTTCTCCTGCATATCTTCCTGAAAGAGTTAAAGTTATCATGTTACAGTGATATGTATATCCTCATGCTTACCACCTGGGGAGACTGAGACCTTCTCCTGTTACCCCCCAGAGGCCACAGGCTTGCTGGGCTCTTGTGAGTCCCTAAAATACATCTTAATAAAGCTAGTGTGCAGTGCCCCTCCCTTTACTAGTGTTGTTCTCTCTCCTGGCCTCTTTTGGCTTCCAAGACAGTCGGGGCATTCCACAACACAGTTGACATGATAGTGCTTGATGTGATGGTTCAACCTCACACATAGGAAAATCCAGTGTGCTCAGAGTACCATTCAATAAGGCATCGAAGTATATCCTTCATTACTCATCCACTTTTTATTTAGTGAATTCATTCATTCATCTAACTGAATCTGAACATGGGTCAGGAATAGAGAAAGGCCCTAGGGAGATACAAGAATGGGTAAGACACAACCCTGTGCTTGGAAAACCCAGTCTCTAGTGAGAAATGAAGACACAAAAATCCTTTTATCAATATAGAAACTGAAGAGAAGTGTGCAGAAAATAAGAGAGTGGGCTCAGCTGTAGAGTACCTGCCTAGCATGTGCAAAGATCCCTGGTACCTCAACAGGGAAAGAGGGAGAGAGACAGAGAGAGAAAGAGACAGGGAGAAAGAATATTGGGGGAGAATATACAGGAAGAGAAAATAGCGCAAGAGTCTGGAAGGAGAAGCAAAGGCGGGGACTGCAGCTGCCTCTGAGAGGAGAAGGGAGCACACAGCCCTGACCTAAGGAGCACTGACTGCCCTGCTCCATCATGGACAAACCTGCCCACCTGGGCCTGAGCCTACCTCCGTCCTCCCATTCTGCTCATACCTGGTGTGTGGTGGAAGACTGCTCTCCTGGCTTTTATATTTTTCCTTATTATTTATGTTGTATCTTATTTACCTTTTAGTTTCGTTTTTCCTGGAAACTCTACCCTCACCCCACTGCAGAACTTGTGCAATATGATGGGAAACTACAGTGAACACTTGAATTTTAAAAATGTATTACAGTAAAAGACATGAGAATCCTCCTCAGAATACTTTCTCACACTTAAAACACTTTTCTTCCTTTTTTTTTTTTTTTTTTTTTTGAGACAGTGTTTTGCTATTTAGCTCAAACTGGCCTTGAATTCTCAGTGATCCTCCTGCCTCAGCTTTTCAAGGGCTGGGATTATAGGTGTGCACCACCAGTTCTTTTTTTTTTTTTTTTTTTTTTTTAATACTAGGAATTGAACTCAGGGCCTTCTGCTTACCAGGCAGCTGCTTATGCCACTGAGCTACATCCCAGGCCCTATAACCTCTTGGGTCTTTTTTTCTTTTATCAGGGATTGAACTCACAACCTCATGGTTGCCAGATAGGCACTTGTGCCACTGAGTTAAATCCCTGACTACCCTGCACCATCAGCTCACACATTTATCTCACTTTTCTTGTCACTTGCTGAAGAGTTCTGGAAGTCCTCTGCTGTGTTTAGTTGCACTGTCTTGGCTGTCTAGATGTCTTGAATTGACTCAAAACATTAACTTCTCATGACCATTTGTGATAGGATTTTGGCACGACAAAAAGACAAAGGAGAAAAGAGGCCTTTATTGCGGACACAAGAGTGCTGTAGAAGAGAGGAAAGCAGCCTCAGATGAGAACAAAGAAGTGGAAGTACTTTTATCAGGTCTGGCTAGGGAGGAGTTCAGGCTGTGGGCGAAATGACACACTATAGCTGATATGAAGGAGCATCTGTGTTTATAAAACAGGAAGCAGAGAGATTTACTGGGGGCTGGGATGTAGCACTTTGTGGAGTCTTGGGATTGGAGAGGGCTCACATGCACAAAAGGAGCGTGGGAGGGTTTTTTGGAACTAAAACGTAGAAGTTACTGTTGGAGAGATAAGCTGTTTCTCTGGGCCTGGCACCAAGCTGGGTGAATGTCATGTTGGAGCTAGCTAAGCCCCAGGCCAACAGAATCTGTCAGTTTGAACCTCCAGAAGAGCCGGAAGTCACAGGGTGCCAATCCCGGGGATGAGATGGATGAGGACACCACGGCTGACTTTCCATTGGATGGCACGTGGCAGCAACTGTACTTGTGACAACGTTTGTGAAGACTCACAATAGAGGACTGCAGACCTACTCTGGACCTGCTCCTGGAAGCAGCAAGACAGTGGGACAGGTGTGTTCACAGAGAGGGGGCTCAGCAGGGTCTGTGGCACTGTCTTAGGCTGTAATAAAAATTTTACATTTAAATAGCCAAGAATACATTCTGGATCATGACCCTATGTTACCAGGTTTGGGGTGCTGCTCCCGAGGTGGCTTCCAGGTTCTTCAGTCCTAAAGGAATTGGTCGAGAAGCACAAAGGGTAGTGAACTTTTATGATAGATGGGAAAAGAAACTGGCTCTGCAAAGCGAGTTCGAGCCAAGAAAAAGGGACAGGAGCGCAGTCTAAAGTGTGTGAGCAGCCACCATGCCATTGGCGTTTGGGATGCAGGGCAAAAGTCTTAGACCTAGGCCCTTTCGCCACCCACGCCTGGGGCTGGGGTCGGGTCAGGCCTGCGAAGGCTTCTCCAGTTCTCTCCAGAAGTGCACGGACCGTGCTGCGCAGGCACCCTGCCAGGTAGGGATGGAGTTGCTTGTGGCCCACTTCACCTGAGAGAGCAGAAGGAGCCATCTGCGTCCTGGGAGGGATGCTTCAGGGGCCTGAGTGGGGCTGGCTGGGGCCTGCAAGGTGACAGGGGCAGGAGCTGGAGGGGTGGGGCTGCTGGAGACAAGGCACAGTGGCAAAGGCCAGGGCGGGCACGTGGTGGTGCCCGCGGGCGGGCGCAGAGGCGGGGCTTCCAACGGGTCAGCACTAGCGCTGGAAAGCCAGGAGCTTTGGTCTTGGAGCCCAGTGCACGTGGGGGATGTGGGTGGTGGCTCGCAGCCTTTACCCACCGGCCCGGTTTGAGTCTCCGTCCACATCGGTGCACCTTTCTGTTCGCCATGACCGAACTAGGACCTCAAGATGTTTTTTTTTTTTTTTTTTTTCTTTTTTCCTGGATGTGTTATTAATGTGTAGAAAGACTACTGAATTTTCTATGTTAATTCAGTATCCTGCAACCTTAATGAATCCATCAACTTATTGGTGGGAGTTTTAAATTTCCTATACAGACGACCAGGTCATCTGCAGATAGATTCATTTCCGTCTTTCCAATTTAGGTGACTTCTCTTACGTGCTTGCCTAATCACTTTGGCGAATATTTCAGGACTGGTTTGGCACGAAATCGCAAGAATGAGCAGGCATTCTTGTGTGCGTCCTGATCTTAGAGGAATAGTGCTCAGTTTTATCATGCGGTAGTATGCTAGCTGTGAACTTACCATAAATGACCTTTCATGTGTTAAGGCACAGTCTTTCTTTACCTGTTCGTTGCAAGTGTTTGTCCTTAGACAAAGACTTACATTAGGGAATGTAAAATTTTGTCTCTCTTTCAACATTCACGGAGACAATCATATAGTCTTTGACATTCAGCCTGTAAATATGTTGTATCACACTATAAATTTGTGCATGTCAAATCATTCTTGAATCCCAGAAATAAAATCCTACCTGATTATGGTGAATGATCCTTTTTTAAAAAATTAATTTTAGGGGCCTGGGATTTAGCTCAGCGGTATAAGTGCCTGCCTGGCAAGCATGAGATTGTGAGTTTGATTCTGGGTACAAAACAAAAAACAAAAAACAAAAACCCCCAAGCATGGCAGTGCATACCTATAATCCCAGCATTCAGGAGGCTGCAGCAAGGGGATCATTGCATTGCAAGTTTGAGACTAGCCCGAACTACCAAGTGAGCTCAAGACCAGTTTGAACTGCATAGTGAGACCCTCTCTCAAAAGACAAAAAAAATTTAATTTTATTGATATACTTCTGATATGCATAATGGTCACAATCATCATAGGGAATATGTATCTGCACTTAAGAGCTCTTGATTCTTTTTCCCCAGTCCCCTCCCCCTCTCTTTAACCCCTCCTTATTTATAAAAGTTTTGTTTTCATTTTTCTTTATAGTCCATGCTTTTTTAAAAAAATGACCCTTTTAATATGCTATTAATGCACTTCTCTAGTTTTTTTGTTGAGTATTTCAGCAGCTGGTTATCAGGAATATTGGCCTGTTTTTTCCCTCTCTTACCGTGTCTTCTTCGGGCTTTGGATATCAGAATAATGCTGGCATCACAGAATGAGTTTGGAGTGTTCCTTCGGAGTTTTTGAAAGACTGATAATAATTCTTCTGTTGCAATCATAACATAGTCAGAGACCACCATAGGAACGGTGGACAGGAAGAATTCTGAGCCCTTTCTTGCTACTCATTAAAACATGATTTGTGTTTCCTTCTAAAATAGCCAGAGACTTAAAAGCCATTTTTGCTATGAACCATGACTCTTCACTTGGGCCTGCAAATGCCCAATAAGAAAACAAAAACAAACTAACAAAAAACACACCACAATTTGACTTTTATTTATTTATTTTTTGGAATCAGGGATTAAACTCACAGCCTCATGCTTACCAGGTGAGCCCTAGAACCACTAAGCTAGTCAGCCCATCGACTTGACTTTCATTTTATGTCCCTTGTTATGTAAATTTTGGTCAAATCTCTTCTCAGCTCTTACAGAAGTATGTTGATCATTGAGGGATGACTGTCTAGGAGCTGGCCAGACAAGATAAATTCACCCTGAACTAATTCATCATCACCTGCAAGATGGAGAACACCAAGATGAGAAGTCATAGGGACACTAGGCTCCTGCCCTAAACCTGTGATCATGTGGATTCCAGGAAAGGTAGGGTCTCCCTTGTCTGAGACCACCACAGGCAACAATGATACTTTCCTGGAAATGAAACCATCCCTCAGCCATAGGATGCCAGAGCTATTTTAAAAAAAATTTCAGAGCTGTGACACCAGGACCTAGATAATGATCAGCTGGTCTTCAGCCCACTAGCTAATCCTTAAAACTGGTTTCCCTGTCAAGTGGGCCAGTCTGAGCTCTATATCAGGTTGCCTCCTCCAGCTACATAATCTGCAGTCCCTTCCCTCTATCTTTCCAACTAAAGCCTTTTTCCTGTTAATTCCTGCTTTAGTTTTGTCTTGGTTATTGTTCTCTCCTTGCTCGGACAAAATGCCTGACACTCAAAATTAAGAAAGGAAAGGTTTATTTAGCTCCCAGTTTGTGGAAGTTTCAGTCCATAATCAGCTGGTGTCAAGGCAGGATGGCATGGCATAGGGGCAACAGTTCAAGGTGACAGAAGACAGCACGTGCATAAAGAGGAGGGAGCAAGCGTCTGCTCCCTTATATTCTACATGCCAACCCCTCCAGGGCAGGCACAGCACTCACAAAATCTCCTTGTCCTGCTATAGCATAAGATGAGGATGTTTACAAATTAAGGACCTTGGCCCCTTGTTGAATCCCTTAATGTCTAAACTTCTCAAGTTGACACAATGATCAACCATAACAATCTACCCCTTGTCAACTTGGTAACCAAAGACATTTTTTAAAACTGATTTCCAAATACAAAAACATGCTTATTCTTATCATTTTACAACTTGACTATTATAACACAGGTTTAACAAGTCTTTAGAACCAGTATTGTCTGTCAACATTGTATTACATTAGAAGCATAACATTTTGTCCTGACCCCCCCCAAAGACTTATATACATTTCCTAGGTAAAAGGCATTTTAACCAGTCTCTAAAAGTTGCCAAAGTCCTAGAAGTTTCAGCATTGCTGAAAAGACCAAGTCCTAAGTCTCCTCTCAGATTTAGGTAAGGTAAACTCTTAACTGCAACCACTTGTACAAAAGAATACAAAGTTAAACATGTCCAACATTCAATAAAACAAGATAAACATTTTCATTCCAAAAGTTACGAACAGGAAGGCATAAAGGATTAAGACAACAGCAAGTCTAAAATCCAGCAGGGCAAACATTAAGCCCTATAGTTGCATATCCAGCACCCAAAGCAATGTGAGCAAATTGTGAGCTCCTAAAGGCTTGTATGCCCGCACCCCAATGGCACTTGTGGTTGTATCTCCCATGGCTTCTCTCTTAGGACTACGTGCTCTCTCTTTGCAAGTTTCCTTAGATGACTACGTGCCTGGCTTTTCCAAATTTCTGGGGTTTCTACTTCACCTTTGGCTTCACATTCATATCTTCACACACTACCCTGTTAGGGGCACACTGCCTGGCCTCCTAGGCCTTCTGAAATTGGGATGGAAGCCTTTTTAACCTCAGAACTCTTGCATTCTATATGCACCTGAAACCCTTCACAAACTTCCTGTCCTCCTCTTGCACAGGATGAGGATGTTTACAAAGGGCAGGCCCTGGCCCCCTGCTGAGTTGCTTAAACTTTTAAACTTGCACAGTGTATCAACCATAACAAGTTTTAACTTCCATTTCTCCTAAAGCAAGGACTCACACTAGGCAGCCTATACCACTTTTAATTGTTTCCTAAAATTCAGGGGTGAAGCCATTGGACTTTCTTCTGAGGAGAGATTTTGCATTGCAGATTCAGTCTCTTTACCTGTTTACTGGTTACTGATCTGCTCTGTAGTTTTGGTTTTTTGTTTTTCAGGTGCTGGGGATTGAACCCAGGCTCTCACATGCTGTAGGCAAAGACTGCTTCCCAAACCCAGATTACTTTGGTATAACACTTTACATGCTTTGCATTTGACAAACTTTCAATGTCTACAGTGTTGTTCTATCATACAGACAAAGGATGAAACACCAAAAGCACCAAAGATGAGATCTACCTTGTGAATCTAGAAGGACCCCATCCAACTGGTGGTCTGCTTAGTGTGGATCCGATCACCTGAGTTTAGTCACTCCATGCCTGATTTGGGACAGGATAAGGAATATTTCAACTTACACATCCTACAGACTCAGACCAAGCAAAAACAACATCAACAGATCTCCACTGAGATTAATTTTTAAAGCTATTAGTTTTTGTCCTGCAAACTTGAGTGTTATTCAAAAGGTCGTCCAAAGTTTCATCCTAAAGGTTATGTGTTGAAGTTAGGGTCCACCTGACTTTCACAAAACCACTTTGCAGATGACCTAATTTAAGAAAGAATCTCATGCCTGACGTCAGTTTCTTTTAGGGAGATGACTCAACATTTTCAAGCAAGCAAGGCTCACTGACTTTCCCAGTGGTATAGCTTGGGTCACAATCTGGACTGGATTGCAGGTTGTTCTGGTGTCAGACCAGCCCTTCTGAGCCTTCTGCCAGGCTCTGGAGGGTAAAAGGGTGACCAGAGTCCTGTGTGTGTCTGTCCCCCTTAGCATCCCTGGCAAGCGCACATGGCATCCCACCTAGTTACCAGATTTTCTCTAGGTCAAGCGCCTGGAACCAAGAATTGGACATGACACACACATTGTACATAATGTACATAAAGGTTGTACATTTATGAAGGCAGGGAAGAAGTACACTCTACAGGGCAAGGTAGCTAAAGAAAAGACCACAGGGGTCTGAGAATAAGGGAATGGGGTCTTCTGTATCCAGATTTCCTGGATTGGCTTCCCCCATGCAAATAAAGCCATTTGTCCTATCAAAAACTCACTTGATGCCACACCAGATACAAACTGCTCTATTGAAAGAATCTCTTGGCCTCCTGCTGGATATAAATGAAGGATAAGGAACAAATCTTTTGATTGGTTGTACCCATGCCATGGTAAATGAAGGACTGAAAATAGCATCTTCTGATTGCTCTGTGAACAGCTTCATATTTAAGTAAAGGATGGAATATAGCCCTTTTCTTGTTGTTCCACAATATTCTGCCATAAGTCCAAAATTATCTTGGGGTCCTGTGTTCTGGACATGTCCTCTCTTTTTGGAGAACATCTCCTGTGGCCTGTTGGTGGGGATTTATGACCTTTGACACATTCTGCACAGTTAGCTGTCAGTTTTATCCAGGCCTAAACTATCTCAACCCCCACCACAGGTTGCAAAGACAGGAGATGAAATTATTTAATTTTGTATTATTTTATGGAAAAAAGATAAAATTTCATAACAAAATAATAGAATAACAATAGTTAATACATTACATGTTATTATCTTTAAAGTAGTTGCTCAAGAAGCCAACCAGCTAGCCTTTCTGGTAAGCCTGCATGCTGCAGTGGCTTCTCAGAAGAGAGAAGTTAGCACCTCCTGTGAGCCTGCCAGCATGTGGGCTGAGAACCACACCCTCCTCCACCTGGAGCAGCCTTCTGGTTCAGCGACAGGCTGAGCTGATAGCAACTAACATACATAAAGCAACTAAATGCTTGTGTTGTTTGGTTGATTTTGCAGGCCTGGGGCCAGCAGTGTGAGTATCTCAGGAGGATGGCAGTATGCAATATAGCAAATATGGGGGATTTCTCTCTGTCTTGTTTTTGAAACCAAATATTTTTTTCACAGTTTTGCTTGTTCTGATTGTTTTGCTTGATTCAACGTTCTGTTTTGATTGGTTTTTTTCTGTTTTGGTTTTAGTTCAATTTTGTTATACCTGATGAAACAGAAAACTATGGTGAAGATAACAAGATATACTATGGTAGCTATTGTTGTTTTCCTGGTATCCTGCTTTGAAGTTCTGTACCAATTTTGCTGCTTTGTTTTGATTAGCTTTGTTCTGCTTTGTTGGATTTTGCTATCTTTAAAGTAAAAAAAAAAATCAAAAGTAGTTGCTTAGGGTACAAAATATGGGCATAAGAATTTCTCCACTCAATTTTAGCACAAACCTTTCTCTTCAATGAACTAAAAGATGGTAACAGTGTAACTGACTTGCATTTTCCCCTTTTCCCTACTGTCCTTTCCCCTTTTACCCATCCTTGTTCCTTTTTCCTTTTGAACAATTTCTTCCCATTTCACAGTATCTGTTGTACATTTTAGATCCTATTTACTCTTTCAACACCGCACACAAGGGAGACAATATGATGTTTACATGTGAGTCTGATTTATTTCAATTATGGTCTCAAGTTGTATCCATTTACCTATAAGTCTCAAGTTTATCCTTCTTTATGGCCAAGTAATACTTCATTACATAAAAATATCTTTTTATCCATTTCTCAGTTGATGGGCATTTGAGTTGTTTCCAAGATTTATCTACTACAAATTGTGCTGCTATAAATATGAGTGCACATATATTTCTGTATGATGTTTTTAAGTCTTCTGGGAAGACATGCAGAAGGGAAATAGCTGGGTGGAATGAGACTGCTAATCCTAGGGTTTTTTTTTTTTTTTAATCTACCAGGAATTGAATTCAGGACTTCATGCTTGCCAGGCAGGTGTTGTGCTGCTGAGCTATATTCCTAGTTCCTCTAGTCCTATCGTTTTGGGAATTCACCATACTGATTTCCACAGTAGCTGTGCCAGTCTACCTTTTCCCCACAGCCTCACTAGCATTTGTTATCAGTTGATTTCTTGATGGTATCCATTCTTTCTGGGGTGAGATGAAATCTTAGTGTTGTTTTAATTTGCATTTCTTGAATGACCAGTGTTGTTGAACATTTTTTCATGTATTTATTTGCCACTTGTATTTCTTCTTAATCTGAAAAGTGTATATTCATTTCAAATGCCCTATTTTGGATTGGGTCTTTGAATTTGGGGGGGGGCTGACTTTTTTTCAATTCTTTATATGTTCTAGATAGAAGTCTTTTGTCTGAAGGACAATTAGCTAAGTTTTTTAGTTGGCTAAAATTTTTTCCCACTCTATGGGTTTTTCATTCTTTTGGTGATTTCTTTTACTGTGAAAAAGCTTTTTAATGATAAGATGCCAGTTGTTGATTCTTTGAATATTTCCCATGCTGTCTGGTTTCTGAACTCACTGTCTATCCCTATGTCTTCAAGATTTCTACCTACCTTGACTTTCAGTAGATTTAGTGCTTCTGTTTTAATATTTAGATCTTTGATCCATTTTGACTTTAGCTTAGTGCATGGTGATAGACATGTCTAATTTAGTCTTTGGCATGTGGAGAGCTAGTTTTCCCAGCACCATATATTAAAGAGGCTCTCTTTCTTCCAGTGAACATGCTTGGCCTCTTCATCAAAGATAAGGTGGCTGAACGTCTTTGTAGTTGTGTGGGCATCTTCTAATCTGTTCCACTGATCCTCAAGTCAGGTTTTTTTTTTCTCCTACCAGTAGCATGCTGATTTTATCACAGCTTTATAGTATAATTTCAAGTCAGGGATTGTGATGCCTCCTGCCTTGCCTTTGTTGCCCAGGATTGCTTTTGCTACTCTAGGTCTCTTCTGTTTCCAAATGGATTTTAGGAATTTTTTGCTCTAGATCTGTGAGGTATGCTAATGACATTTTAATTGGTATTGCAGTAAATCTGTGTAACAGTTTTGGGAGTATGGCCATTTTCATTATGTTGGTTCTTGGTTCCAGGAACAAGGGATATCTTTCCATTTTCTGATATCCTCTATCCTCTAGGAGCTGAAAGTCATGCTGAAAGTCTTTGGGTCACAGACTTGCAGTTACTGGCAACTGGCCAGAATCAGGCTTGGTGTGCTTGGCCAGACTGCATAGAGATTTATGTTTTCTTTCTTCATACAGAGTATCTTTCTACAGTCTTACAAGGCTTGCTGATATGAAAATCAGCTTTAAAAAGTGCCACTTATTGCATATTAGGACCTGAAGTACCCAAGAAATCACACAAATGGCCAAAATTGAAGGGTGACTCCAAATTCAGCTTTCTGGAGCAGAGCAGAATTCTGCAGAGAGAGGAGAGAAGTGAGTATGCCTAAGTGATAGTGACCCCCGGGAGGGATGGGACCCCTGGAAGGGACAGGGATGCTCAGCTTTCTAGCCTCACCTGGAAGCTGATGTCTGCTATCTTCCCTCACCAGCAGTTGTGGGGCCTGCACATGATTGTGTGGAGGAGCCTCTTACAGGACAGTGCAGAGGTCCTCCTGCTCCCACGATTGTGCCCTGCTCCACAGCATGGTGCTGACGTTCCTGAGCAAACATCATCTATATATCCAGCCTTGCTATATTTCCAGAAATACTTAGAGTGGGGATGTTCCTTTCCTTCCCTGACCCTTTTCCTGGATAGATGGGTACAGGAATCCCCAGGGTCCACCCAGGCCTAAAGGGCCATTTCTGTGGCTCCTACTTTGTCCAGGTTGGGCAGGGTTAGAGGAGCTTGAAACTTCAGCTGCTGGCCAGGATGGGAACTGGCTCCTTCCCAGCCTACTCTCCAGAAAAAGAATCCTACAAAGGTTAATTTTTTGCTAAACTGAAGAGTGAACCCAGAGCCTTCCCAATGAGTTGTATCCCCAGCCCTTTTTATTTTTTGAGACAGATTCTTGCTAAATTGCCTAGGCTGGGATAAAATTTGTAATCTTAGCCTCAACCTTCTAGAGTGCTGGGATTATAGGAGCATGCAACCAGGATCAGATGCTAAACACTTTTTAAAAGAAGAGACTGATACAGTCTCTTCTCTTATAAAACATGTTTTAGATATAGACTATTATATATATAATATATGAGTGAGAAAATAGAGAATAAGCTTTAAGGCAGGTTTTTCCCTAAAATGTTCACTGGAGTCATTTTTATTACGAGGTTACTGTCACAAATGTAAGTAAAAATCCCTTTTTTTTTTTTTTTTTTTTTTTGTCTTTTTCATTTTTATAGGTACCAGGGATCGAACTCACGACTGCCTGCTTGCAAGGCAGGCGCTTATGCCACTGAGCTAAATCCCCAGCCCAAAATCCCTTATTCTTTTAAAAATATAAAAACAAATGCCAACAACACTAAAGAGTCCAATCCAATTTAGTAATTGTAGTCAGGGGCTACAAAGAGAACAATTTATAATACTATTTTATGATGGTCACCCAGAGAAAGAAAGTACAAGAAATCTGTCCATAGCACTAAAAACCTAGAAAAAGCCAGCCAAGGACCTGGATCCCACAACAATGTCCTGCATGAGTCCAGCTGAAGACCTAGAGCCTATAATAATGATTCATGCAAGTCTGCCCTATAGATCTCTGCTGGGAAGGCCCATAGGTTGGGTGGAATCTAAAAAGGCTATGCTAGCAGGGTGAAGGATCTGTGCCGGTAGGGTAACGGTTCTACAGTAGAGCCAAGGAGCAATGCTCAAGATAAAGACTAGGGCTTCCCCAAAAAGTACACAGCCATCCTCAGTGACAAGGTCCCAAGCTCCTCTGACGATAACAACAGCCAAGTTCATACCAGGAAGCCAGCATGACAAGCTTCTCCTAGAGACTGAACAGCACACATCTTCCCCTCCAGAGCCAGGAAGTGATGCTCGAAGTAAGGACCAGAGCTCCCCCAAAACGAACCGCAGACATTCTCAGCAACAAGGTCTGGAGCTTCTCCAGTGTGCTTATCAGGGAAGATAGCCATGACAAGCTCCTCCAGGAGAGCCAAGGGCTCCAAACAACAGCACAGGAGAACCCACAATGCCACACTCTTCCCCTCCACACCTCCTTTTATGCTGGCAACTTTCCTCAGGTGGGCCATCTCCATTCAGCGCCATACTTGTTTAACTTAGCTGGTGTTAAGTTGATGACTAATTTGTAATCCATAGCAGTAATATTGACGTCAGATGATGTTAATTTTACTGAAATTTAACTTCCACTTCCAGAGTAATTATCATAGTAGCTTTTTCCAGTAAGTATTATGTTCCAGACCAAAGTGTTTCAATGACTGAATTCATCTAGCCTCCCAATACCACCCCAAGTAAGTAGTATTACTATTATTCTCTTATTACTAAATCAGATAAGGATTCAGAAGTTTTACTGGTCTCTTAAGGAGATGCATCGAGGAGGTGGCAGAGCCAGGCTTTGAACCCCAGCCATCTGACCCAGGACCTCTTCTGGCACTGTGGTGTTCCGGGTCCTCGGCACACAACGCAGGTCCTCAGGGAGCCCAGCACATCTGTATTCCTACAGGCCATGGGACTGTCTCTCAGCCTCTGTCCTCTGTGGGCACCAGATCTAGGCTTCCTCTTGAACAGCACACGCTGGTATAAACTGGCTTAAGTACATCATTTAACATATCAATTTATTGGCTCATTTGCTCCAAGTACAGTTTTAGAGCCCAAGGGTTTAAAACACTAAAGAAAATGTGACTGGCTGGGCGTGGCGGGGCACACCTGTAATCCCAGCACCCTGGGAAGCTGAGGTGGGAGGACGGCAGGTTCTAGTCCAACCTGGACAACTTAGCAACATAGCAAGACCACAGCACAAAAAAAAAAAAAAAAAAAGAAAGAAAGAAAGGGGCTGGGGGTACAGCTCGGTGTGAAGGTACTGGGTTCAGTCCCCAAGGCCACACACACAGTGTGGCCCACAAAGCTCTGAGCAGAACTCAGTTAAAATGTAGTCATCCCAACCATCTGTAATGCATGTGTATTATTGTAAAAAGTTTCCTATCAAGATGAATCATGATCTTCAGACATGTGTACAGAAAACTAGCAAGCTGCTGCTAATTCATCCATGGAGCACTGCTAAGATTAAAAAGAACAAAGTAAATTATTGAGGAGAAGGTTTTTTTTAATTCCTTCAGTGACTATCAAAATGTAAAGCATAAAATATATGCCTACAAAACTTAGGTGAATGAAACAATAAATGTGTCGGAAATTACCGTGTTTGTACATCTTCCATTATTTATAGCAGTTATGTGAAGGCCAATTGTCAGTGTTCTTAAATCAGATTCCCCAAATCACATGAAAATACTAATCCATATTCAACCCTTGCAAGAAAGGTAAGACACAAATCGACGCTGGGCTCCAGAAGACAGCGTTGTCGTTCTCCTCCAGTCACGGTGGCCTTACTAGGACTGACGCCCACTCAGACACACAAATGATTACGCTGGATGTTGAGGGGCTGTGAGTCCCCACGCAGCTGTCTGGCTTTGTTACCCTTCCCCAGGACTGTTCTCTAGTTGGTGGCGTAAATGTTTGTGTCTGCTTTGCCCTTGGAAATCCAAACTCGCAGGGAATGAGGAAATGATTTTCCTACCCAGTGTGGGGTTCCAGGAAGCACATGGGTCAGCAGGCTCGCTCGCTGTGAGACATGGTGGTGGTGGGGCCTCCTTCAGCTGGTCCCAGGCGCAGTCTGGAGCGCCCTGGTGTAGCTCTGGCATATGTCACTAATGTCACTAATCCCCACCACCCCAGGACCTACTCGGATGCATCAAACCACTGCGCAAACATGGTAGCAATGATTTCTATTTATTTGGCTGAAGAGAATAAAACACAGTTCTGGTGTTTCTAAAACAAATAAACAAAAAGGCAGAGAAAACATCAGATATATATAGGACAGATTCCAATTCAAGAAGGAAATATGAACATAGAGCTTTAGATCATCCTTCTTTCCCAAGAGCCTGCTAAAGCATAAAGGGTTTAAAGGAGCACAAAGCTGGTCACAAAGATGGCCAGAATGGGTTGGTATCAGCAGCTGAGAGGTTTTAACCAGGGTCTGCCTGGCAGAGGACTTGAGTGTTTGCCTGCGGGAAGTGGGGACCTCGAGGGGGTAGGGTGTCAGCCCCAGGGATCTGCAGGAAGGAGGCAGAGCTGAGAAAGTGCGGGGGCAGAAAGCTAGAAGGCAACGCTTTCAATCTTTTTTTTTCTGGAATAGGGAGTCTCACTCAGTTTGCCAGGCAGGTGCCGAACCACTAGGCTCTATCCCCAGCCCGGCAGCATTTTCAAAATGATCTAGGACACAAAATCCTTTGTCGTCTAAACCAGCATTCAACTGAAGGCAAATAATGACATTTACAAATGGTGGGACTCAACCAGTGTACTTGCTACATACCCTTCCTTTCAAAAGAAGAACAAAGAGTTGTGAATGTGAACCGTGAGGGAACCAAGCCAGGATGAGAGCTGTGCTAAATATAAAACAGTCTGTAGGCCTTGGGGCACATGGACTGGGTGGATTTTAGACAATATACAGATTAAGTAAGAAACTGGGAAAAAGGCTAAGGATGTAGCTTGCGGCCAAGCGTGTCAAGGCCTAGGTTTCATCCCCAGCACTGGAAGAAAAGGGAAGAAAGGAGGAAGGTGGGAGGAAGGAGGAAAAAGAAAAGAAACAAAATACCAAGCTCAGGGAAGTCTGACGGCAAGGATGCGTCTCCTCGCTTTCAGGGAGGTGGGTAAGTGGGCCTTACCTCCCCTGTAGTCCCAGAGACTCAGGAGTCTGCAGCCCAAGGGCCCTGCAGCCCAAGATTCCAAGGCTGGCCTGAACAAGATGGCAAGACTCTTTCAAAAGAAGAAAGAGCAGTTAAAGGATATTTAAAGTTATAAAAATAGCCATTCAAAATAATTGGAAAAAATGGCTATCAATAAAAATAGGAGAAAAGTGAGATTCAATGTAGGTGAACCAAATTCTAATCTCTCACCGCTAGAAGTTAACAGGATATTTGAAAGTTGAGAATCAAAAAGGACAAGTTGGGTGCTTGGCTGATGGTACACGCCTGTAATCCCAGCACTCCGGAAGCTGAGGCAGGAGGATCATTGCAGGTTTGAGACCAGCCTGGGCAACAAAATGAACTCAAGGCCAGCCTGAACTGCATAGTGAGACCCTGTCTCAAAAAGACACAAACATACAAAAACCAAGTTATGATACAGCTGGGTAGGAAACCAGATGTTAAAAAGTGATTCTCCGCCCCCCCCAAAGAAACTACTGTTTTTAATAGAGAACAGATTGGCATAAGTATTAGCTAGCAGACATGAACCATTTCCTCATTCTCTGAAATCAAAAGGGGGAAGCACATGCGGCTATGCCCATAGCTGTGGCAGGGATTTCTGAGCAAAATACAGCAACCAAACAGTAACTCTGCGCAGAGGTGCTGTGTTACTGTGCAGCCATGACGCCCTTTCTAGAAACGTGAAATCCGGTGGACTCACTAGACCCTGTGCACCAGATGATCCCTGGTAATGCTCACTTTCCCAGTCCGAAAGCTCAGGCTTTCTGTCGCTGTGGTCTTTGCAGACAGAAGGTTTACACGCAGCCTTAGCCTGGGCTGGGGGAGCCGTAGGCCAGCGTCCAGCCCGAAGTCTGCTGCGGACTCGGAAATTTCCACACCAAGGGGATTCCCTGAGCTTCCCTGTAAATTTCTCACCATGTGCCTTAGGGAAGCAGATGAAAGTCCAGGCAGAGGGGACTCCTGCTTTAACAGGCCTGCTCTTAGGGGGCTGCTGGAGATGGAACCCTGGCCTGTTCACATTTAGCCTCTGCTCTGCCCCCGAGCTGTGTGTGGGTCCCCGATCCCTGGCTCTGCTTTCAGCTAATTTGTTGTAGGCGTTCACGTTATGGGGTAGGGGGAGGGCAGGGTAAACAGCACTACCCTGCAGTCCCTCGGGTCTTTCTATCCTATTATGCTCATCATTTTATTTCATTACAACCTAAGTAAACAGCCAAACTAGACGAATTCAGCTACTTTTTTCTTAACTATTAAGCATCCACTTTAATATTCTTGTCACTTCCTGCACCAAAGCAACCTACCACAGATTTCTAAACAGACCCTGCACTTATTCTGAGAATTCTTTCGTTTCTAGTCCGTTGTCAGTATGAGGTGTTTACATCCTCTGGGCGAGGCTGTGCTCTCCTAGTTGAGCCCTTGCTGAGCATGAGCGGCTCCCTGGGCTAAGCCCTTGTGAATTTGCCCTCCTCCTCCAGAACATCCTGTGTTGTTGCTAAAATTCTTGAAGTGGTTTCTTTTCCTTAAAATTTTCTTTATTTGTATGAATTTTTTCTTCCTCTTATTCATGACCATGTATTTTTTTTTTAAATCTTTTTGAGACAGGGTCTCACTGCGTAGTGTGAACTGGCCTTGAACTCCCTTGGTAGCCCAGGCTGGCAAACTCGCAGCAATACTCCCGCCTCAGCCTCCCAAGTGCTGGCTATTTTGATTCTTTAAAGAAACAAAAACTAAAGATAAATAAAAGTAAAATAAAATAACAAAAACTATGTAACGGTTGACTTAACATTTAGACTTGTAAACCCGTCTTTGAAGCACAGAATCACGGAGCATTGATCGTTTCCAAGTTCAGTAGTGAGCTCAAGCCTTTTGCTTATTTAATTACACAGAACAGTTTTGAAAACTATCTCAGATGAGCTCTCCATGGCTTGAGCTTACTGTTTCATGAAATAAAACTGAATTTTGGCTTGGAGTTTTTATAGCTTCACATAAAGAAATCGGGGGCGTCGTGAGGTCCTGAGCGCACCCTGCAACCACAGAAGCTTGAGTGAGGTAACTAGGGAGGCGCGCAGCCAGCAGCTGCCGCCTGCCTACAGTGGGATGGGCTTGTGCTGCCACCTACTGTCCCACCTGCAAACTGCACCGTTCTGGGCCAAAGTCGGAAGCCGGAGAGTGTGAAGGCGGAAAGGAAGAAATCCACTCTGTGAGTTCCTTTACATGGCTCCGTCGATAGCTATGACTGCCAAAATTATTCACATAACAATCTGGGAAACATAAACGTGAACTAGATAGTAGACGATTGGGGATCTTGTTAACTTTCTACCAAAGATAACTTTGCACAGACTTTCGGAGTTGCTCATCTCAAGCACTGAGAACCGAGCCCAAGAGAGAGGCAGCTGAGGAAAGAAGGGAACCTTTACACGGTTTCTGCGGGTGGAGAGCAGCACAGGTGATCGGCGCAGAGGGAACGGGAAGTAGAACGTCAGCACACCATGGAACATGGAGCAGCTCTTAGAAGTTCAGGCTCTGTGGAGGACACAGTACGGGCAAGGCTTAAAACTGGCGGTGGGGAGGTGACCACAACGGAGAGAAAACCGTGGTGAGGCCTGGTACCCACGACAGAGCCAGCCGTGAGGGTGCGTGACCCACGGCGCCCCTCCCAGGCTGCTGAGCAGCTCTCCTGCTGGGGCCCCCACCCGGGAAGGGGGCTCCTGCGCTCCCCCTGCTCACCTGACCATGTCCTGCCCCTGTGGATGCCGAGCTCCTGGAATGTTTTCTGCCTCATTATCCTTTGCTTCTGCGCTAAAAAGTAAGTTTTGGTGTTGTTTGCTTGTTTGTTTGTAATAAAAATACAAATGTAGTCGATGAACTGCAATGAGATTTTTAACAATACACAGTGAATGTAGACCGAGGTACAATTTCATACAGGTGGTTTTTCTTTTTCTTTTTCTTTCTTTTTTCTTTTTTTGGTACCAGGGATTGAACTCATGACCTCACACTTGCCAGGCGGGCACTTATGCCTCTGAGCTAAATTTCCAGCCCATTGTTTTAAAAATGTAAACCAGTTAGGAGCGGTGGTGCACACCTGTAATCCCAGCTCTTGGGAGGCTGAGGAAGGAGGGTCACTACCAGTTCAAGGCCATTCTAGAATATAAGATAAATAGATAACTGTAAACCACTCATGGTTTTTTGTTTTGTTTTGTTTTGTTTTGTCTTTTTCCTTTTTTATCCATACCAGGGATCGAACTCACGACTGCCTGCTTGCAAGGCAGGCACTTATGCCGCTGAGCTAAACCTCCAGCCCCAAACCACTCATGATTTAAGGATCAAAAATAAAGCCAGAATGGCACATTAATATTAAACATAACTAAAACATAAGTGACTTTTAGCACATGATTACATAATCTTAAGCTGTTACACATTTAAAGCTATTTTCACTTGACAAATGAATGTTTTGAAGTACATAAAGCATTAATATTGTCCATAAAATCACAACTAGAACATCAGTTTGGGCCTAGGATGTAGCACAGTAGAGACGCATTTGCTTTAACAATTCCTGACACCACATATCCTTGCCAGTAGCTGGGACTGTCTGATGCTACATGATTTGACAGTACGACATTTCTGACTGCTATTCAGAAACTTCCAAAAAGATGAAACAAAAACAAAACCAAGCCTAATCATGGTAGTGCACACCTCTAATTCCCATCAGTCATTTCTGGGACTTCAAGGCCAGGCTGGGCTACAAAGTGAGTTGAAATCCAGCTTGAACTAAAGTGAAGCCCTATCTCAAAAGGACAAGATATAAACAAAGCAGAATCTTCTCATGGATGCATTATTTCCTACAGAATGGCCTAATCTTTTGGATGCCCAAAGTTGCCCAGCACTGTAAAACAAAACAGTAAACAACAATAACAGAAACCTTTGCTACCTTGCCACAAGCAGCTGAAGCACTCTTTGGGAGTTTCAGTTTACCTCACAAATCACAATCCTTGCTTGTATAATCCTTCTGCAATCATCAGTGTGGACTTTTTTCCCAAGAGATTTACTTTCCAAGTACATTATAAGCTCAGGAAAACACCCAGCAATTATGTGACACAATTATGTCATAACAATATGACTAAACCTACTGCTTCAAAGTAGCTTTGGATAGAGCTCTGAAACACTGTGTTCTCTAGGGACATTTATTAGCAGAGTCAGAAATTAGGAGTTCCTGCTATTCCCACTGTGCTTTAAAATAGACAAGCCTTTGGTTAGAGTCCTACATTTGAAGCATTTATTAGCAAATAAAACACCTCGGCCAATAAACGGTGATGTAGTATTAGTACATGAGGCTTTATCTGTTTCTGGTACAGTGGGAAACTTGATATTTTTACTGTAATATATTGATAGTTTCAGTCCTTCTCTTACAAAGAGAGAAGTCAATGTGTTTATTTTTTTCTCTCTTCTTTTTCTATTAGTGCCTGAGTCACAGCAGTTTGCAGCAATGATAGGTGCTCTCCCACAGTGTACGTGGCTAGCATTAATTTCAGAGTTAGTTTATTCGAATCAGTTAACGGTAGACTTTACCAAAAATTAGACTTTGTTAAGTGTTCTAGGTTGTCAGAAAATGCTTATTTAGAAAACGAAAGTCGTTCCGTTTACAAAAGTAGCTCTGGTAGACTTTTAAAACAGCACAGAAACAAAAGATGCCAAAGAAAGCCACACGGAGTGCAGCCAACAGACGCAGGCATTGGTAGCAGGGGGGTTGGCAGGGCAAAGGAACAGAGAGGTTCTTTTTGTGTAGCCATGGCAACAGTCTCAGAGCCGTAAATAGCAGTGTCCCAGCAGCAGGCGTCGAGGGAACCAGGAGCCCTGGACAGCGGAGCACAGCGTCAGGGAGAACAGGCACTGGCGGGCGATCGGACAGGGCGGAGCCGGAAATCATTTCAATACTAAGAAGCAAGCTCTAAAGCATGATAATACTCCCAAGAGGACTCAGTCAAGTGATTGCACAGACTGTCCCAAGTGACAAAATGGGCCGAAGTGATTGGCAGATTCAAAAGTTGTATTGTGCCTTCTAAATCTGTTATTCAGGTTTTAGATTTTCCACTAGGTACGGATGGCCATGAAATTCCATAAATTATTCTTCAGCAATGCAGCTAGGAGAGCTTACAAAACCTAGGAAAGCTTACAAGTTGCCACCCAACTTAAAGTGACAACAATCACGTCATCATAAACCACTGTAATTACTGTCTTCGGACTTGTGTGAGCATCTTTAGTCTTATTTTCCTAAGGCTTCACCAACTCACCGTGGGCATTGAAAAAGATCCAGCTCTAGTGATCAGTGATTAGACTGTACGTGCTGACCACCCACACACACGCGGGACCACGTGGCAACAGCTATTCCAAATGCGACTTGTTAACCCTCGATGGAAACATTATTATGTGGTCTGGGCTGCACCTCAGTGGTAGAGTGCTCACTTAGCATATAAGACACCTGTTCAGTCTCCAGCACTGCAAAAAAAGAAATCAATTGAGGGCATGGTGGTGCAAACCCACAATTCAGCACGTGTGGGAGGCTAGGGCACCAGGATCACAGTGAATGGAGGCCAGCTTGGACCACATAGTTCAGCCTGGCTAAAAAAAAAAAAACAAAAAAAAAAAAACAAACACAATCCCAGCACTCTGGACGCTGAGAGGCTGAGCATGAGGATTGTTGCAAGTTCGAGCCAGCCTGGTCTACAAAGCAAGCTCAAGGCCAGCCTGAACTGCATAGCGAGCCTGACTAAAAAAAAAAAAAAAACAAAACAAAACAAAAAAACAAACAAAACAAAACAAAAAAACAAACAAACAAAAAAACCTGATATATTTAACAGTATCTTTAGCAGAGGAGCTGTAAGCAGAAGTGGCTGCAAGTACCATCAGTATGTAGGTGATTTAGGTCCTTAGGCTACACAATTGCATTTTTGAAGGATGCGGTGGCATATACCTGTAATTCCCAGGAAGAGAGGGTGAGGCTAAGGCTGGAGAATTGCAAGTTCAAGTTCTGCTTGGGTAACTTAGCAAGACCCTGTCTTGCTAAATAATAAAAAGGACTGTGGATATAACTCAGTGGTGGAACCACCCTGGGCGCAGTCCTTGGCATTGAAAAAAAAAAAAAAACATCAGCACATCTACAAAATATTTTTGTAGCTTTACTGAACACTTGTACCTCTGTCCCCTGTAGTAAATTCTTATTAAATGTTGCAGTGAAAAACTAAAACATTTTAGGAACTTAACCAATTTATATGCAAAGTGGACTTCAGAAAAATTTTGGTGTGTATTTGACATACTTTGACCACTTTTCTGCTACCAGTACATCCTGCAAAGCTACCTCAGGTTGGAGTGGCATGTGAGTGTTTGCTTGGTCGTGCGGATAGATAACAGATTTAATCTGAATATTCAGTGAGATACATGGCATTTAGATGCAAGAGAATAGTTAGGCATATAAGATAGGAGGCACCAAGGCCAAACTCTGCTACTTCATAGTTTGTTTCTTTGTTTGTTTTTGTGGTGCTAGGGACCAAACCTAGGGACTCACACATGAAATTCATAGTTTTAATGAGTTTTGCTTGTTGATTTGGACAATCGAGCCCTTGCAATTGTTCCTAGAGCCACTGTAAATTGATTTCAAGCTCTGGTTTTGAGAGTGTAACTTTTTAAAAAAATTTTATTTAAGGAGAAAAAAGAAAAAAAAAGGGTACAAGTTATACAGAATTTCAGAAAAAATAAACAGTAGGAAATCACTAGTTAATAACATATTGTCATCTTAGAAATAGTTGAAGTTACAAAATTAAAGCATATAGAGGGGACTTTCAAACAGTGAGACTGCAAACAGTTTTGTTCAATAATCCAAGAAAACTCAGTAATATGGTTATCTATCTTATACACTTAAATATATATGCAGTTATATCTTTTAGAGAACGTTCTTTTCCTTTCTTTTGTAAAATGACAATTACACTTTTGGGTTTTATTACTCCCACAGTTCTTATTACTTTTTTTTTTTTGAAGAAAATAAAACCAAATGTGACATGCCAGGACAGAGTCAGTCAAATCAAAAGGATGGACATAGTACATGTTGTAAAAACAGAATAGAAGGTGATCAACAATGGTTACCATAATGCCTCTTGTTATCTTAAAAAGAATTGCCTATATCATGTTATAATAAAATTGAACAAAACAGTAAAGAATAAGACCAATAAAACCAAAACATTGCTGACATTAGAGGACTTCAAAAGAAGATAATAGTCAACCAGAATGGGCATCACAATGGATCTTATTGTCTTCATAGTTGCCTAGACTTTCAAACTTGGTACTATCAAGCATAACATAATAGAGGAAAATCAGTCAAAACAAGATGGTGAGAGCAATACAGAGTTTCAAATCAAGTTAATAGGAAATCAAAGTGGGTGGCTGTAATATATCCTGCTATTTTTAATTTATTTTCCCTTAATTAAAAGGATAAAAATGAAAAAGTAGATAATAAAAAGGAGATTGAGATAAAAAAGAGGGCATAACAACAAAACAGTGCAAGTCAAAACATAGCCATTTAAGCAAAATAGTGTTTCATCACAAGATAATCCCGACATAATAGTAGTTACCATAGTGTCTCTTCCCTTAAAATCTTTGGGTGTAACTTCGTATACTGTAGCATCAAACATATCAAGACAATGTAAAACCATTCAAGAGAATGACAGTATTACAGGGTATTTAGAATCAACTAACAGAAAATGAACAATGGTTTCTGTATAATCTCCTTGTCTATAAAAGTTTTTGTTTGTATTACCA